TGTGTGTGTGTGTGTGTTCCAGTTTATCAGCCACAACCAGTTAGGCAAAATAGGAGAGAGAAAACACACATTTGACTTAACATGACTTATCTGATGATGATTTTACTGCTTATTAAAAGACAAAGTTTTACTGTCAAATGTGTCACAACTGAGCCTTTTTCCTCCTTTATTATTTATACTTTATACTTGCTTTACTGTGCTATAATCTGTACAGCTTTTCTCTCCACGTGTTTTCTTCAAATAGTTCAGTGTAATAACTTTATGTGTAAAAACATGTCTTTAGATAACATGCAAATGCAGCACAGTATAAGTCAGTTCATTCTTCAGACGGTTCAGGACATGTTGGAACTTGTATTTTGTAGATTTTTACTGCTTGTAAGATTTGTTATCTTGTATTCATCTGTTGCTGTTTGCTGTTAGGTTGACAAATATCTAATATAGTTAGTATATATCTCTATTTTTTTTAGTCATGCTCTCTACTATTTGCACTCTTTGTTCTTCCCCTTTGCTTTGTACTCTCATACTCTTTCTCTCTTTATATTGACTCCCTGCCTCTTCCTTATTGTCGGTCATCCATCTCCCGCCTCAACGCTTTATCTTTCCCTCAGGTGCACTTAAACCTTGGTTCTCAAGCTGTGCCCCAGTTCCATAGCGCGTATGATATTTATAAGCCCACAAATAGAGGAGAAATAGAGGAGCAACTCAAAAGCTGCAAAAAAAAAGTTAAAATGAATTGTGGATGGTGGAAAACAAAAGAAAACTGTAAAACAAAAGTATTAAATCTTTGTAAATACATCTGTGAGGTTAGTCGGTAGTGTAATTACAAAGCTGACGTGTCAGAGCATTTATTACATCATTTCCCTTCATTACAAAATGGTACAAGAACGGTTACTTCTTGTATACTAACTCAGTTCGTAGAGTTAACTTGATTATCTGTTTAAGTCTTTGAGAATGGAGCATTTCCTGTATCCTGCCTTTTTTCAAATGTGGAGATTTTCTTCTAATTACTTTTTTTTATATAATTGTAAATTTAATATCTTTTGAGTTTTGCACTGGTGTTCAGACAAAACAGGACATTTGAAGGCGTCACCTTGGGCTCTTGGCTGCAGTTTTTACTACTTTCATACACATTTTTAAGACTATTAATCAATTAAACACTAAAATAAATATACTCCACTCTTTGAACCAGTTAAAATGTATTCCACAGTAGGTATTATAAAGTAGCAGGAGAGGATTCGGATTGTCTTGTGTTTATAATATCACTGAATCTATACCTTTTTTAAATATATTTAATCTCAGGGGTTTAGCAGCAGAGTTTTATCAATTTTGATGAAATATTTTGACGAACAGAATTGGGTTGCAGCCTGTGAGTCTCCGTCCTTCCTCAGCGTTCCTCCTCATCACTGACTGCCAGTCACAGTTTTCAGTTTGCAGACTGTGACGCTGAGAGACGAGCTGACGACCAAAAAGGCTGTAATTTAATAATCTGGAGAGGCAGAGCTGCCACAACTCATTTGTTTCTCTATCTGCTCTTGAGACAGTGTTATTAATCTGAAAGTCTTACTCCTATACAGTGTGTGTGTGTGTGTGTGTGTGTGTGTGTGCCCTCGATTGATACTTTTGCAAGCAGGCAGTTCCCTAAACGCCCAGGATGATACTGTTGTGAAAAAGGGGAAAGTTGAGATGAGTCGAGTTTCACAACGGGGCTGAAATTCTACCGAGTTGAGATGTTGTGGGCTTTTTGGTTTGTAGCTGTTGTTTTGTGTTGAGTTTGAGAAACTTGTGTTGAAAGCTGGATCAAACTGCTTGGTCTCCCTGAGGGTAAAGATGGGCTGAGTCTTTGCAGCGTGTGTGTGTATGTGTGTATGTGTGTGTGTGTGTGTGTGTGTGCGCACTTCTTTTTCTATGCTGGAATAGTAGTTTTAAACACTTTATGTGTAATTTTCCAATTATCATATAAAACAATCATATTCTCTGTTTTACAAATAACCATAGAAAAACAATCCCAACAGGAGAAAGACAGAACAAACCCAAAATCAACCTGACAGACTTGTCACAGACAACAGACGGACAAAAAAAAACAAAAAACAAGTTGAAATAGTAGTTTTTGATTACGCATTTATTTATGAATATATGCATCATAGGCACAGAATTAAAATATCTGTTTGAAGGAGATTTTAACACATCGTGCCTCAAGCAGAACTGAAACAGTCATTCAATTAATGGATTAGTTGATCAACAGGAAATTAATTTGCAGCTATTTTAATAAGGAATTACTAATTAAAGTCATTTTCATTCATAAATGTCAAACTTTTGATGTGTGTGTGTTTGATTTACTGCTTTAATTTGTTTAAAATTATAGTAAATTAAATATTTTTGTTGATTGTTGGACAAAATAAGAGGAAAGTTGTGAAAGTTATTTTATTTTAAATTAACAGTTGACACCAGTGTTAATTCTGGCAATGGATTTTGCTGTAGTTTAAGTTTTATTTATTTTGCCGAAAATCTATAATTTTTAATAAAATTTTAGTCAAAAAAACTGATTATTATTTAACGGGTATCGGCAAGTACTCGTGTTCGTGCATCGATCCGATTTTTTTTTTATTCACCCCCGAAACGATGATAGTAATCATACTGGCATAGTAATATAGGCTTGTTAAAAATTATAATAAATATAAATGTATTTTTAATGTGCATGTATTGGACCGGTACTAGGTATCAGCCAAGTTCAGGTATTGGGAAGGAAAAAATGGTTTTCACATCTCTACTTGTTTTGTTTTATTTGTCTAAATCTCATTTTCATTACAGAAAAATTATCATCAATTTGTATTTTTCATGTTTTTGCTGACAAAAGGAACATAAAGTCTGGAGCTTTCGGGGGACAGTTGATAATCTAATGTGTGAATGTGTTTTTTGAATTGGAAAAATAATGACTTACTGATCTGTATGAAATATTAATGATGTTGTTGTACATTTCCTTATTTCACAAATGTTGAGAAACCATCACTTTAAAAATCTGATGTTGTACCTTAATGTGTTTATTGTCTGTTCTAGGGAAGGCAATGAACCTGGTGATGAGTTGACCGTGACCTACAGAGAGCTGCTGCAGAGGGTCTGTCAGTTTGCCAACGTCCTGAAGTCTCAGGGTACGTTAACTACCCGATCTATAACTAGAAGTACCTGCTCTACAACTAGAACTACCTGATCTATAATATAGATATGCTCATCTGCGTCTTTCTCTGCTTCTACTTGATGAATCTCTTGTCTTTGTTTCTGTCTGCAGGAGTGAAGAAGGGCGACCGTGTGTCCATTTACATGCCCATGGTGGTGGAGCTGGTGGTAGCTATGTTGGCTTGTGCTCGTATCGGAGCTGTTCACTCCATAGTGGTGAGTTAGAGACGCAAGGCTGACTAAAGGAAGGCACAATAAAACACGTACATGGTGAGTTATGAGGAAGATGTTGATGCTGTGTGTGTACTGCTGTTTCCAGTTTGCAGGTTTCTCTGCGGAGTCTCTGTGTGAGAGGATCCTGGACTCACAGTGCTCACTGCTCGTCACAGCAGGTGGGTTTCAGATTTTATAAAAAACAAATCTACATTGCAGGTTTCCACAAGAATATACTGAAGACATTCTGAGTAAGAACGACTGCGATTATTACCTGCAGACACTGAAACTGTACCAGCTCCTTATCGGCTGCTCCGTGTCTGATTCTGACCTCTGCAGGGTTTTCACCTGTCAATGACCAAATATCCTCACTCAGATCGCCTCCATAAACCAAGGTTCATATTTAGTTTGAACCTCGATAGTCAGTAGCTGCGCAGTACGACACTTCAAAGTGGGTTAACCGGACATGAAGCAGCCCGGAAAATGTTTTTAATGTTTCCTTTTCCTTATGGCCACTTCAGGAACGGACGCAACTTGCAGCGATCTTTTCTGCGTCGTAGTGAACTTGAGACACTTCATCGTTAAAAAAGGAGCCATTAAACTGGAGTTAAAGTCAATGCTAGGCCGACCGGTAAATGATATGACTGTTTGTGAGCAATGGTTGTCCTGAACTGTCAAGAAAAACTACTGGAAAAGGAGTTAAAAAGATTATTAAAAATAAGTGGGAGCCTCCTCTGAGCACATTTTCACCTTGTGTTATTTACAGGAATTGAACTACTTCACTGTTTATACAGTCAATGTTGATTGGGCCACAAACAGCCAATACATACACTATATTTAATGTATTTTCAATTTATTTTACCTTTATTTAAGCTGATAAGTCAGTTGAGAACCAATTCTTTTATAGTGACAACCATGCCAACGTCCCAGTGGTTCAGTGTCTTATCCAAAGACACCTCAGCAGAACTGTTAGTGGCAGTTTGGCTGTCGCAGGACACTGAAACCTCCTTCTGGCTCCTCGGTACAAGCTGCTGAGCTGTGACCAGTAATCATAGTCTTATTAGCTGGATTAGAGTCTGGGGATATTAACCTGCTAATCCACTGGAATAATGGCCTGTGGTTGGAGCCCACACACACATTTTTCTCATTGATAGAAGTCCTGTAAGCGGATCATAGAGTCTTTAGCTCTGTGGGGGCTCTTTCATCTTGACTGTCAGCGTACTCGTGGAGTTTTATTACGTTGTAAATAGAGTAACGAGATCATGAATGGCGGAACGGAGATAATATTTCCACTGGGTCTCGTTGAGTTTTACTGCCGTACATAAAGTTTTGTAAACTATCTCAGCGACTCATGAAACAGCTTCACATCCAGAGACTTGTTCCCAATTAATAATAGAAATGTAACTGCTCTGCTTCAAATAATAATTTGTGTTTGATGTTTTTTCCACAAAAAAGTAAAAAGTCCACTTTTTAGTACGTAGTTTAAAGTCTAATGCTGACAGAATACAGGAAGCAGAAAAAAGAGGGGTGCAACATGGCTGGAAGTGACTGCAAAGACAGAGATTGAGGGTTAAAGAATAGGTGGGAGAGTGAAGGTCAGTCAGTATAAACAGAAAATAATTACAGCAACCAAAACCTTTCTTAACATACTGTACATATCAGATGTATATGTCTGCTAGCTGCGTTAATAACCCTGCTCGTATTTTACTTTTTTTTTCTTGCCCAAAAGTGTTCTGACTGCAGAATAAATCCCTTTACTCCCCCCTCTCTCTGTCTCTCTCTCTCTCTCTCTCTCTCTGTCTCTCTGTCCCCTCTCTCATTCGTTCAGATGGGTTCTATCGAGGAGATAAGCTGATCAACCTGAAGTTCTTAGCTGACGAAGCACTGCAGAAATGCAGAGACAAGTAAGCTGTCCACACACACACACACACACGCACACACACACACACAAATGTAGAGTCAAGTAAGTTGTAATTACACACACATTGTGCTTGTATATTATTGAGGAACAAGCCACCAGGAAAAACATTTGACACCGTTTTGCATGTCAGATGAAACCAAAAGGCAAATGGTTACAGTTTTACAGAATTAGATAACTTCTCCACACATGATGCATCTGCACAGTCTTTTAGTTTCCCTCCTGCACAACTAAACAGGGTTTGGATGGGGATAGATGGATGGTTCAGTAGCAACATGTGAGGAAAACCATTTGGCTTATATAAGTAAATCATGGCAGTATTCCAGTGCATCACCACACTTCACTAATGCTCTGTGAAACAAAACAGGGGCAGCGAGATGAAAAGTCACTTCATTAGAGGAGATCCAGAAAGCAAACTGAGCAGTGAGACAACCACGTGATGTTATGCTCACCCGGTCTTTGTCTCTGTCTGCAGGGGTTTCCCAGTAAAAAGGTGTATAATGCTGAAGCACTTGTCCAAAGAAGCAGAAGAGACTCCTCTGGGCTCTCACTCTCCTCCGGCCAAACGCTCCTGTCCTGACCTTCAGGTAAATGATGGACTAAAATCCCAAACTGGGCCGTTCCAGAAGAACTGCAACCTGCGGTTGAGACATTAGTTCGATCTCCTCCGGTTATACTGTATCATTAAATCATGCATCATCCTTTTTAAGTTAATTTTTAGTTGCTGTTCTCCCAAAGAAAGCGTTGATTTGCTTCTCCCATGTTTGTCAGATAAAATACAGTGGGGTCAGTTTTACTAATTTAACATGTAAATAATACTAATTCAACACTCCTGCGTAGTTTAAAGGAAATACTGGAGATATTCTGTATTTTTCTTATAGTCGGTAATCCCATGGAAAGACCAAGAATGAGTTCATATCAAACTGTAATTATTCTTCTGCGTGATGCACATAAGCAGTAAGACAAAGATCTAAAAAGTGTTTAGTAAAAATGACCACACAGCTGACAGGCGAGCGTAGTAAGGTACATTTACCTGAATAAAATGTAATAAAAACAGATTTCTCTGGGTTTGAACATTGTTGGAAACTAATGTAAGTGTAGGTCTGGAGTTGAGAGACATTTTGATGCAGAAATGTTCCATATTATGGCTTTAAGTGCCTTGAAGAAGGAAGAAGAGATTTAGTTTCCTCTGCTCTGCTACTTGATCGTCGTGAACAGGTAGATGAAACTTTCTGACAGGGTCAACTAGCTTGATTTGCAGGTTTGGAAGGGATCCACGATCTAAAGTTACCTATAACACTCTTCTCTTATCTTCTTGCCTCTGTGCCACAGAGCTCCATTCATCCAAAAACTCTTTTAAAAACACATCAGTGTTCCTTCATTACCACGAACACACACACACACACACACACACACACACACACTGTAGTTTATCCTGCAGCAAACAAAATGAGGATTCATCCGCCGCTGAAAATAGTCCTCAATAATATGCAGTATTAACTCCAGATTGTTTGATTTAAAAACTACAGTGAGGAGATGTTTTTAGGAAAAATGTAACCGTATATTGATGAGGTGAGTAGGAACCAACGGCCTCGAGCTGAGGGCCACAGACAGGAAGTCTGGTTTTGGTATTTAATGGGATTTATTGACAATGAGACAAATATAGAGTAAAGCCAATGTTATCCTTTAAATAATATTATATTCCTTATTAAGCTGTTACGTCTGTGGATCTTTTTCTGTGAAACTGGCCCCGTAGCGTCTACAATTCTATTTTTATTTATTTACCAAATCCATCTTTAAACTTCTCTGTGTGTCAACTTGAGGTGACGTTGGGGATCCTGTTTTCTTTTAACTTTGTGTTCTTTAGTTTGTTTTTTTTTTTTTTTAAATAACCACTCTCCCCTCATTAACTTCTCCTTCCTCCTCCTTCCTCTTCCTCTTCCTCTTCCTCTTCCTCGTCTTCACTCCCGTCCAGCAGGAGAAACAGGCAGGGAGAGTAAAGAAAACACGTCCTGTTCCGCAGGTATTTTCATACCCTTCCTCCCTCCACTAAAACCCACCGTAACACCCCCCGTTTGTTTTTGCTTTTTAAAAGGGAATTTCACTCACAAGCAGAATTTTCACATTACTGCTGTAAAAAGGTAAAAAGAATAAACAACGTAAGAAGAAAGATTCTTACTCTAGTTCATTTTTAGGTCCTTTTTATTTGTAGTTTACTGTCGTCTTCTATTTTATCTATTAAAATATTACAATTAAATGAACTATTAAGTGTTGATTTATTGTTTTTACCCAGCAACAGCAGTTTGTTATTCCTTTGATATGACCGGTTAAATCTGGGAACATGAGAAATAACAAATTGAAGTGAACAAATTCACTTCAATTTGTTTTATAAAACTTATGTATATATTAAAGATATAATCTCTGATATCTTCTGACTCTATGAAACAATATAAAATATGAATAATAACGCCATTTGTTTACATTTTTATTTTGCTACAACATGTTTTTGCTTTGTATTATTGTACAAATAAACTAAATATAACAGACACAATTAGTAGAATTAGGACGTAAAACATGATTTTATTTTATCATGTCTGCATTGAAAATGACATTTCAGATTGACAGTCATTAAATATCATAATTGATTCGCTTCAATATGAAATATAATCTAAATTAAGACCAAAATTTATATAAAAAGTAAATAAAATAGTGTTTCTTGTGTTCTCAGATGTTTTCTGTCTGAATTCATTGGAATAAAATGTAAATTCTCTGTAAACGTGTAAATTAACACCGTTTTTCTCCTTTTTGTATGTGTTGTGAGCACACTCTTTATGTTGTACTCTTCTTACCTTCGACTTCACTCTGGGCGGAGTTGAGCACCGTTACATTTAGTACACGGAAATGAGCCGCTGTCTCTGACGGTTGTTTTTATTTCTTACTAATGTAACTTTTAACACTTCTCTCCTTTTACCTAAACACCACCAGTCAGAAACAATCAGGGGTCTGTTGTTGATTTTTGTTTTAAGTTAACATAAATCGGCTTTTATGATTTAAACGTTTGTGAAAGCCCAATTTAAAAAAGTTATGATAATCAAACCATAGCTTCAGAATTATTAGATCAGACTTTATATATACTGTCAATGCTTATGATACATATTGGTTATTTTTAATATCCTACAGCTTTTTTTTTAAATGTATTTGTGTCTAAATAGGAAGCTTTTTAAAAAGCTTTGATTTTCTTGTGTTTTGCCCGGATACAAACAGACCCCTGATTCTTTCCCAGCTGTATATAAGTAAAGACTTTGTCTCAGGGACCAGAGGTAGAGCCTTGTGTTTTCTCTCTCATATCTGGAAGCC